ATAATGTATGCTATACGAAGTTATTACGGTCGTCTAAAGTAAAAATATAAAAGAAATACATATGTATATAGTGCTAGCAGTATTTTTGAAAAAGAGTTCAAAGGTTAAAGAAACCGAATAGGTATAAATATGTATGTGTCTATTAAAAAACAAATCCATCTCCTTTACAAACGGAGGAATCGATTTGCGCTGCAATTTTCATACACTTTACATTATAAATAGATAGAAAAGGTCAGAATTTATTTTAATATTATGAGATATCAAATATGCAAATTCTTCTTTTAACATATTCTAGATTCTAGAATTGAAACACTGTCACCCGGTAACTTGAAAATGAAAGGAGAGCTTATATTTAAATATATAAGATCTGTTTTGTTTTTAAGTTGCAGAAAGCTTTTTAGTTTTTCGGAACACATTAAATTACGGAAAAAAATATTTGAGGAAGATGCAGAGAGAGAATTATGGCGTGAGCTATGCCGCGCAAACTTAAAAAACAGTCTCACTTTACACGTCGACAAAGGTGTATCCGCATCTCCATGCTCAAAATTCGGATCAGGCTCGCTCTTGGAATGCGTGAAGGTGAATAGATGCTGTGCACGAGTGAAAATTAATACCGCACACCATGCAGAAACAAAAGAGAGAGAGAAAGAGAGAGAGAGAGATTCAAAAGACACACGATGAGCGGAGACGACTCTAGTTTCAGCGAAACTCTTGGCGAAAATATTTAACATCCGAGTTTGAAAACAAAAAAAATTTAGCTCAGCGCGACTTCTCGAGATCCGAGGATTGCGATTTAATGAAATTTCCGCAAACAGTAAAGTCATAATTAGCAAGATCCTCGCGAGAGATAGCCAGACGCTCTCGCAAACACGAGAGCGGTGGTTGTCGAGGTATTTGCCAACACGTGGACTATACAAGATGAGCTACATCGCTCGATTAGTGTGATCTTCGCAAATGCAAGATCCTCGCAAACACAAAGACCGTGGTCGGTTCTTGTAAACGCAAGCCGCTTGCGAATGTAAGATCGTACTTAGCGAGAATCTCATCAATGCGGAAGCAGCGGTTTAGCAAATCCTCGCGAACGTACGAATCATAATATTAGCGAGCTCCTCGTAGACACGACGCCACGATCTCGAAACAATTCGCTATATTGTGATTCGACTGTATTAGACTTTCGCATACCACCGAGCATTGTTGAAAAGTTGAAGAGCTTCTCCGCGAGTTGGAGTGGCGATAAATTTTCATGCTAAATTTTAACGAACAAGCGCAATCTAATTTGAGCGAGAGTGGTCGTAACTATTAATTCAAATTTATCCGCGCATTAAACGAGAACGCTTTACACCTCGCCAAGACTTCGCGACGTTGGAGGTCTGTAAAACGCGTAAAGTTCGCCTCGACGGTAGAGCCGCCCCCGTGAGTGAGAAGCACAGCGAGCGAGTTAAAGCGGTGAATTAGTTACCTTCCACATGAGGTTTTTGTTAAGGTGGCCCCAAGTGGCAGTGGCAGATTTGGGGATATTGGGAGCTGAGGGTAAGAAGGCGTGACGCGCGTACGGCAGGGTGGCCACGATGTGAGCCTCGGCCGAGGCGGGTTCACCTGGCACTGTTACTGCCGGCTGCCTATCGACTATCGCCCAGCTTCGACCGGACACCAAGTACTGCAAAAGCAACCAATCCGCCGTTTCCCCCTTAACCCTTCGTTCACCGATGAGCGGGTGCCAGCCCTGTCAGTGTCGCTCGTGAATTCAGTGTGTGCGTGTAAATGGAACGATTACTTCCTCTAGATAATTATTCATGCGTGATCACCGACCGAGGGATTGAGAAATGGAATGATTGGAACCCGATGATGTTCGAACATTTGCGTGGATTCAGTGCAGGTTGTTTCGGTGAACAAAGGACTTTCTCACTTGGCAACCGCACTGAAAGTGATTTATCGGGACTGCGAGATCGGCTGGATCTGCCGCGATGCGAAAATCGTTGTTCGAGAGTTCGAGAACGAGGTATTTCCTTTGAGAACGATAAATGTATTTGTTTGTCCGCTTTAAGCTTTCCCTCCTTCAATGTTTTTCTCCTGTAATCAATTTTTCGTATCTTATATGCGAGCAGATGTCTATCAAATCGTAAATGAAACGATAATTTGCAACTTTAAAGATCGAAAAGGTCTCTGAAAAAGATAAATATTTAATATCGCTTTACGACTGCGGCTTTATACAGCCATAAACATAATATATACGTGTCGTGTCTCAATTGAAATTACTATGCCGGGAAAACCGGAAGGTTTAAGCTGCCCGATCGATAAGCAGCGAGACACGAGACCTCGTGCGCCAATTAGGATACATAATTGGGTGGATGCGGGGACGAAGGGCGCGTAGATTTCGTGCGACACGAGCGGATACGAGGGAGATATGGGCGCTGTACACATCCAGCGGTATCTCGCGCGGTGCGCGCCGTACCGGAAGCGAGACGGATTTAACTCGTGCGGGAGCGAATCTATGATGTAGCGCTCTGAGATACGCGACGTCGGCACGCACACTTGAGAACTCTCCCCGGTGGACACATCGCGGCCGTCTTCTTCCCCTCCGTCCTTCGACGGATGGAGCGTGTTTGTTGTGGATGAGGACGACACGTGATTGCACCTGTTTCGTGAGTCTATAGGGACGGGTCACGCGAGCGCTACCAGCCGGGCTTCCGGCCCGGCGAGCTCTGACAGAAAGATCGGGAAAGAGTGCTGTACGATGTCTTCCGTTTTGATGAAATCGTTTACGGCAGGCGTAGAAGATGCGATGCGATTTTTAAAGCACTTGAAAGATCTTTGAGACAAAAGCGAGTGAAAGAAGTTCTTCGAGAAATTTAATTATCTAATTGCTTCAACTGGGCATGCATGAGTTCGAATTTGTGAAAAAGTATCGTTAAATAATCGCGTCGAACAATAGTCTTTTTTTTTATTTTGAAAAGCAGAAAGAGTGTCGAATTTTTGGAATAATTGTAAATTTTCTTATCATGAAATTTTTTTAATCCACAAAACTTGGAAATTGTCGACGATAAAATGGTCGCCTGTCTAGTTTACCTCATCCGAGAGTCGTCTCTATACTTTACCTCGTTGCGTGGACATGCGGTCTGGCGTTAATCAGCAAAACGCATCCAGTGAATAGAAATAAAAAGAGAGAGAGAGAAAGACAGAGCGAAAGTGGCCGGTGAATGAGCATGTGTGATGCGGTGGAGGTGTGACAGATGTAACGGACTGGTTCGCGCGGATTTTCTTCACCCGTTTCTTTTTTTTTTTCCTTCATTTTCCATTAAGTGGCTGATCGTGTGGGTGAGTGCCTGAGCGAGCATTGGCGAAGAAGCGCCTTTTAACCCTTCACGCTTGAAGCACAAATCCGATTACCCTTTTCTTCTTTTCTACTTACTTTTCATCACAATTATTAAGTTTCATTTTACTGAAATTTACTTAAAGTCAGCCAACTTTATTTCCTGTACGTTTACCGATTTCAAAATGCTTTAATTTTTAACGTTAAGTAGCAAAAAGGCAATATTTTAATCGACAATGCAAGAATGCTTGTCGCTCGCTTAAGGAGCAACGTATCGATGCACCAATGAATATAATTTCGCAGCGTTTCGCGAGATAATTGTCGAATGCGATGCGTGACAACTGTGAAGGATTAAGCGTGCGTTCTTCAGCATGTAAAAACATGTCGGCGACCTTGGTAGAAAACGCATTTTCATAAACAGTTGCATGGTGCAAAGTGCAACATACAATCGTCATGCACGAGCGTTTTGTATTTTCGAAAAAGCGTTTTCGATCGATCGCCTGTTCAAAAGGGAAGAAAAGAACCACTTAATTACTCGAGGCGCGTTAAGGCGGAATACGGAAGTGCTATAGAGTGCAAGAAAACAAAATGACATGGAATGCGACATGTAAGTGCTTGCATAAAGTGCATCCCTTCGTACTCCGCCCTTCGCGTGTCTAATTAGAATTAAGTTTGCTGATACATTACGAATCTTTCTAAACGTATACCTTCCCCATCGCCGACGGAAATTGTTTGCTTAAACTCCTTTTGTCGCGAAAAGATAATCCATTTGGTAATATAAAAAAATAAAATATCATCAACAATTACTAAATGTAAAATGCATCGGTTGTTGTGATTAACCCTTTCAATTCCACTTTACTTTGATTTTTATCTCGCAAATTTTTATATTCAATAAGTTATATTTTATCGATATTTAAACTGTGCATGATTGAGCAATTTTATTAAAATTTGCATTGTGAAAATGGTATAATAATATAGTTTTTATACATATATAATAATATTTATATACTTCCAATAAATATGTACATCGCATAATTAATTGATAAAGTATTTTTTTTTACAATTAGAAGCAATATAAACAAAATTCATTATCACAGTAACTTTTCCCCAAATATTGCGACTGTAATAAAGTACTAATCATCCCGCTAATCAAATAAAACTCATTTGACATGTCAAATATGGTGAGCGAAAGGGTTAACGACAGAAAGTAATATAATAGAAGGCGCAATTGCGAGGGCGATCGTAAATCATGTCTGCACAGATGTAACTGATGTTGCGATTCCACGCGTGTTCAAAATTATTTCTGCTATGACCAGGCGGAAGGCAGTAACTGACAAGTCGAATTTATCCTTTTCCAGCTTTTTTCGTAGCGTAAATCAACAGTGATTTTGAGTTAAATGCGTTGAGACGTTTTTACATATTTTAAAATAGACTAGATAAATTAATCAGCACATTCAAAAATTAAAAAAGATATAATCAAAAAATTTGAAACATTTTATAGCTACATATTTCATCATTCTGTGTAAAAATGTAATTCATTTATTAATTTAAAATTATTTAACTTGACTTACCGAATAATTTCAACTGGAATTACGACAATTAAAATCACCTGTGTAAAATAGTGCGTTTTTCACGACGACACATCACTTACTGCCTTTTACCGGATCATAGATTTCATTGATGCTCCAAAAGGTCTGAAATAAATGGCGAATCACGCGGAATCGCGTTCTTCGCAGTAAGAAAGGGAACGAGGACTAAGGGCGTAAGAGGGTACAAAGTAGCCAGCAACCGCGTTACACCAAACCCCGAGGCCAGATAAGAAGCACGGAAATCACTACTGTTAGTAGGAAGTCTTGCGGGCGAGCGTGCTCGCGAGAGTGTGCGAATTCGAGTGTTCGTGCTGTGCCTGCCTTCCGCGCGAATATTTACAAAATGGAGGAGATTGAACGTTATCGGATTCATAATTCAAAGAGACATCTTCAGATCAATGTTTAATGAAAGACAAATGTATTTTTTTCCAAATTTTCATTATATTCTCAACATTCCTTGTAGAAGTATCCTTTAAATTAATTTTGTCAAAAAATGAACCAAGATGCTAAGGAAAAAGCATTTAATTGTGTAGACACAATCGAAGAAAGGCCGTGAAAGCAACAATAATAATCTAATTACATAATCTAATTACATTACACATAAAAGATATGGAAATGTCTCTTCTGCTATTATTTCAACAATAATCAATGCAATATTTCAAATTTATTCTTACATTGTATTCTGAAACTATTTAATACTAATTGATCTATTGAGCGGTACGTTTTAATTTATTCAGGCTGTTACTTAAAATAATTTAGTGTTTCAAGATTGTCGAGAAATTATTATCCGCTACTTGATACTTCAAATAAGGAATGTAAAATGATACTGAAAGACATTCTTAATTGGAAGTAACAGACAGGGTCGTGATCTCGTAACGAGGCGCTTGAATTAAATTGAGATCAGGAAAAAGCGCCGAATCTCATTTATTTCTAATGAGCGCAAAGTGAAGTGCGCTCGATATTAAACAATGATCTGAGTTAAAGAGTTCTGATATATTCAAATTGTTATATACTGTTAGAGAATAAGCCTAGTTGGAAAAACGCTAGTTGCGATAGAAAAAAAAAAATACCACCTTACATAACTGTAATTATAAAAAAAGACACAGATTTCGATTAAGTGTTGAATTAATTTTTTCTTTCGATAAATTTAAACATGGATTTATTAACAAAGTATTTTAACATTTAAAATTTAAATTGTTATTATCAATACATTTAAATCAATTTTGTGCTCTGAATAAAATATACCTAAAGTATTATAAAAAAATCTTTATTTTAAATTTAGTGGTTAATATTTCCTGTTAAAAATTGATAAATTTTATAAGAAAGAAAGAAATTTGTGCTGTGAAACCCCTTATATTGTCTGTAATTTTTAATATTAGTATTTTTCTTTGGCTAGCGTTTTTCTACAGGCTGTTCTGTACATATATAACAGCATTTACGAGCACGTTCAACAATCTCTCTTCCAAATATACATTTTTTGTTTCGTCTAGTTTCTCTATCTATCTATCTATCTACCTCTCTCTGTCTCTCTCTCTCTCTCTTTCTCTCTCTTTCTCTCTCCCTCTCACTTTATTTTTGTCGGCCAATTCTCTTCGACTCTGAGCGCGACAGGGTCGAAAGAGCCGAACGGTTCGTTAAATGCCTTTTAGCTCACCGTTCTACGAGTCAGTTTTGAAGTGACTTGCTGATAATAGAAAAAAAGCTTTCAGGCATATGTCACACAGTTTCGAGTGTCAAAGTCGGATGTACACTTGCCAACTTTATTATAAGCACACGCTCTTGGAGTAATAATTTGATAGATTACTGAAAAGTCTCTGTGGACTATAATTTTATATTATTATTGATATGTATATGTATATATATATTAAAAAATATATAGATCAGAAAGTTTTATTATTGCAAATTAAAAAAAAAAAATTTCTACACAAGTTTTTACATGTGAAAAGTGTTGAACCAGTAGAACTCGTGTATCTTACAAGATATCCTGCAAGTTTGGCATAATGCATAAAGACAAAGAAAGTTGTTTATACGCTTGTAATTAAAGTTTTATTTATTGCTCTACTGATAAACACTCTGTAAGCATATAATACTGAAAATCAAAAATAACTATATTTAACGTTTAAATGTGGCAACGAGGTCTATTTACACGTGAGAAGAGAATTGCTGAGAGATTCGAGAGAGATAGATAAAAACTATATACTTTACGTGGGAAGACAATGACTAGTTGTAGCAGCCTTTCAATTAAGTGAAGGGGGTGGAGAGGGGAGGGGGCGAGCTTGAAGGAAGGCAGACTTAAGTTTTGAGCGGCAGGCAAAAAGTGAGCGTAATAATTAATTACAGACGGATCATACTTGTGTTATTTATAATCGTACTGGAAAGAGCAGAGCGAGAAAAGAATGTACAAAGAAAGAGAGAGAGAGAAATGCAATTTATCGAAATCGGAAATGATTTCTGATCCCCGATAAGAGTGTACACAAGAGAGTTGTGCATTTGTCTTGACTTTATTCTGTGATATTAAAAAATAATAGATGCTGATTTCATGATAACAAGTATTGCACCGTCATTGCTACATTATAAGGGTGAGGGGTGGAGAGGAAAACGCACGTTCCCCTTTCAGACTCCTACGATTTCAATTCCTCGACTGTGTGCTCCGCGGAAAAACGCAGTAACTAATAGTCTCGTGAAAATTGAGACGCATTAATTTTGCAAATAGTGTGAACGGCTTTGAAATGATTATTTTTCGCCATTTTTAAATAACAAAAAATAATGATTCAAGAGCTAGTTTAATCCATCGATAAGGTCTTAATCTAATAAGTCTATAAAGTCTTCAATTTTGATGAAATTAGATTATGAGTAATTAATTTTGATGATAAATTCCTCTAAAAGTTTCTTTGTTAGAACAATATTATCATCAATTTTATCACATTACTACATTGCAAATATTCTGCGATTATTAGTTAGTTTTATTGTATTGTTTTTTAAATCAAAAAATTACAGTTTACGAAACCAGTCTAAAAAGATAGAAAACGGCGCAGTATCTGCAAAATTATGCGAGGCTAACGAATGAAAACTTTCACAAGAGATATCGGTTATTTTGTTTTGATTCCGCGGAGCGATTTTTTCTTACTTCGTCGTCCGCGCATTTCGGTTTGGTGTATAAGCGGCGTTTGGATACCTTGCTGGGCGGGATGCCTATTGTGGTTGCTAGGTGCCATCATGTGCATCTGGTGCGCCCCGACCGGCGATCTCAGCGACAAATTGTTCAGGTTCACGTTTATCGAAAGATTCGTATTGTTAGAGGCGGCAGTCAGGTTGTTGTGATTGTTCGGCGGTGACGTGGCGTTGGTACCCACATTGGTGGCTGCGTGAGGTGACAGTCCGGAGCTGTCGGTGGTGGGGGCCGACGGGTTCGACGAGGTGTTGTGCGAAGCGAAGTCCTTGCCGCCGTTGGCGCCGCCGGTGCCGCCGCTGCCGCCGGTGGAGCCGGCCGTGCCGCCCGTCACCGTCTTCGAGCACCTCAGGCACTTCGGCAGCCAGGAGTGGCGACGCACAAACTTGCGGTACTCTTTCCTCACCTGCAAGAGCGAAGCAAAACCCACCCAACCCAACGAAACCATTTTAACGGTGCATGAAAAAAATAAAGACCTGTGCGAGGCAGCGTGCGGATGCGTCACGTGCATCTCTTCCGGTCTGATACGTGAAAACAGAGCAGACCGCGGACCACAGACGGCCGCGTAACAAGTAGTCATAATGCGCGTTTCATAATTATTGTTTAAAAAATAAGCGGATAAAAAACATCCCGCTTTTTTTTACACTCTATTTGGTTCGCGCGTGTTTGTTGTTTTAAGACTAAGTCGGCGAGGCCGTCTGCGTGTGATTACTTGTGAAAATATTGTGCTATCTAAACTTGGAGATTCGCAATTTTAGTGCCGATTTAATGATAAATGAGAGTAATAACGGTGCTCTTCGCGATGACAACAAAAGAAATTGTTTTCAAATTTTTCGCAAAATTATATGATCGTAAAATAAGCGTACTACAGGTAATGAAAGTGCGCGAAGTAAATCTCAATAATTTATATATTGCCACAGCACTTTATTAAACAGATCATTTTCTCATCTCCATTTTCTGATACTCGTGAGTAAAACAATGCTATATTAACATAGTTATCGTCTTAGTGATTTCGATTAGCATTCGATCGTAATTGGTATGTTAAACTTAACTGCTAAAAAATTCTTTAAATTTTAACTTTATATAAAAATTTATACAAAAATGAAAACAATTTATAAAAGATGTGATTACAACTCGCTGTTATAAATTTAATTGTGAGGAAATATGAAGAGTTTACACAATTTTCCAGACAACAAAATACGTAACATTCTTTTACAAATTCGTGAAAAATATCCGATAAAAATGATGAGAGCTTCACAGGAAAAAGCGTATCGACGTAAAATCAAATTGTTCTTATAAATAATAGCACGGGATCAACCTTATATGGTAAAAATTGTTACATATTTCTCGAATAACTTCGAATTTTTGTCTGTATTTCTCTCTCCGGGAACATCCGGCGATGCTGCCGGCACAATCTAAATCAAGGCAGACTTCTGTGCCCCGACGTATTCCCTTACCTTCTCGTTCTGTACGCAATGGAACACAAAGATAAACAGCCCCTGGAGACTATTCAATACGGTGAAGATGTACGCCATCACGACGGACTCTTGGTTCAAGTAGAGGAGCCCGAACGTCCAGGTCAGACCTAGTAGAAACACCAGCACGATAGCGCCCCGCAGCCAGGCCCTGATCAGAAGATACAGAATAATAAATTACATCGGAGAACAGCCCGCCAGGTTTCTGTTATATAATACAAATCGCGATGGCGGCGCTTAAAGGGGACCAACATATCGTCGCGTGGCTGCTTCGAACAAATATGATTTTCGCAAAGGAAATCTAACTGTTTCAAGATACGAAATATTTTCCAGAGAAACTTGGGTTTAATTGTGCTATTTACTTTTTCTCCTATCTTCATTCAGCTAGGAGAGCTAAAATATACAATTCGATAAATAATCTACGATAATAATAAAAATAAAATGTTTTCTACAATTGGAAAAGAGAATAAAATAATTCAATAAAATTTTAATTATATATTTGTGACAGTTTTATGCCATATATTCGTTGCAATCGACTTCTAAAAATGACAGGAATCATAATAAATTCCTCTAACAATTTTATACAATTTTTATAAGAAATTCTTTATTTGCATTTCTGGTTGTCATTATTTATTTGTAGATTTTTTTTCAAGTAACAAATATTTTAGATCTTCACTTCTGCATCATCCCATTTTTTTTACTAAATTATTTATCACTCGTACGAAAATGTAAGAATAATTATAGTTAATTCCAGGCATTCTTAGTCGAAATTGCAAAATACGGTTTTAATGCTCGGCATTATTTCAACGTCGAAGGAAAAAAAATAGCGCGACCGTCACATAGCGTCGTGAGGCACGCGATGCTTCGTCGCGAGCGACGTTTAAGTATCGCGATATTATGCAGAGTCGGGAGCTTTTATTTTCACGAGCAACGCGATCGCCGCTTTGAGCGTCGCCGGGATCGCGGCGTTTTATCTAAACCGTTCTGATTAGAACGTGGCGTTACACAGGTAGGCGGATATATCTCTACGGTACTTCCACGTCTATCTACTTGTAAATCAGGCGTAATACCCGAAACTAAGGAAAATACTACATGCAATGAATGGTCGTGTCTACTCAAAGGAAATGCAAGTGCCGCGAAAGTGTGCCATGATAAATGTAAATGGTGTATGTGATGCTGCTATACCTAGCAAATGCACATTAAAATGTTATACATGTCATAATATTATTAATCATGTATTTATTATAAATACAAGAATATTCTCTTTGCGACATAAGTAAATAAGCGATAAGCGATCAGTTAAAATTCAAAGATTTAGAGATTATTAGATGCACAACGTCCTTGTGCTTTATTGAAGGAGTAAATGTTTATACAGCATCACATTTTCACGGAAGTCGTATATATAAAATTATTATTTTTCGTTGCAACGTATTGTTAATCCCAAAATGATACATATTGAATGTAAGACTCAAGTCTCAATGTTTCGCGAAATTATATTCTATTACATCATTAACTTTAAATTAGTTTACAAGTTTCAAGTACTATGAACGAAATGCATAGTCCACCATTTATTCCTTCAATTGCTGTATTAATTACATTACGCACACTTAATGCTGCAATAGTGTTTTAAGTCGCATTTCCTGTGAATATCACGACATTACGTACAATGAGTGTTTCGATGTATGTGATAGACTAAAATCTACGGCTACGTTCACAAAATCAAAGAAAATGATATTCGGGTAGCTTAATGAAAATAAAACGGATCAAAAGAGAAGAAAAACAAACGGAATGATATCGAACGAGACGAGCAAGATGGCGATTAATGATGATGTTAATGGTGTATGACAGGTGAATAATAATAAAAATAGTAAATATCTTACAAGTGCGCTTGCAATTTGTTGGGAAGAGCATTCTCTTCCTTTCCACTACCAACCAACCACGCCATGCAGAAGAATGTAGAACAGTGTAGACAGAAGTGGGTAGAAGATTTAATACAAAAATGAAACAAGACAGCAGTTAGGTGATTGTTCCGACACCATTAATTAATTGATTATATAATTTATTCTCTGATTTGCAATGCTCGATTCGCATTATTTCTCGCTCGGTATGCGAAGCGTGACCTAATTCCAAATTAATAACATTCGTTGCAATTAATTATGTCAATTATGTAAACAAGAGCGCTGTACAGCACAGTGAAGTATTTTAACGATCGTCATCATGTGAAATGTGATTTGTAATAATGCGAATCGGGATTGCAGCAACTTTTTTTTCATTACCATCACCAAATTGTCTATATGTTTCCAAAGTTTTGTATTGTAAGAACCAAAAGAAGTACATCTTTATTTTTCTTCTTTTATAATAATTTTACACTAATTACTAACTATATTATCGTTTGTAAAAACGAATGAGCGAATAGAATTGTACAATATACAGAGTGTTACAAAAAAAGATGGACAAATTAATATACTTCCACAGTGCTTCTCATACAGTTATCTATCAGATTAACAATTTAGGAAATTAAAAAAATTTACAACACATTAATATTAAAGAGAAGAGTTTCGTGTCTTTAAAGTTTCCAAATTAATTGAAGTTTATTCAAACATTATTCTGCTAAGAGACACGGAATTTTCGAAACGAGAATCGAAGAAACATGGAATTAGGAAAATCGTAAAAAGAATTCTTGGTGAAAAGATTTAAAGAATTATTTCCGTGATATTTTTTTTTTTTAAAGCTTGTGAATGATGCACCCTGCATATGTACAATTTGTGTAATAAACGATATACTCGTGTATATCCTAGGTATCACAACGATATAGTGGTGTGTCGAATGAACGAAATCTGCGGTCATTCCAAACACAGGACTCAAAACCAAAACTAAAAAATCAGCATGGCCGCCAAAAGATGCGTGACAACAAGATCCGCGTTCGGGAGATCTCTTTAAGCAAGTAAAGCTTGCGAACGTGTAAACCGAAAGCACCAAACAAACATCTCGACTTGCTACGCTTCGACGGGAGGATCAAATCTCGAACGTAACGGACAACGGACGGACTCGACTGGTATACGGTATATACAGTTCGTAATTTACGACGGTTTGCTATCAACAGGCTACTAGGGATCACTGTGCTTACCTTGCGCTAGCCAGTCGGGAATGCTCTTTGCTCTTCATCGCCACGGTGGTGTTCGCGTGCCGACACATCATATAAATCGCCATCGATAGAAATACTAGATTCGCCTGTGAAAAATGGTAAAATGGATTATATACAGCGCACGCGGTGCCATCGTTGTGATATCAAAAAAGTCTGAAGAAAAAGTCGCATTAATGTATGGAGCAAACGTACGGCAGCGATACGCGTACATCCTAACTCCATGTATTATAACTTAATACGCTATTTCCCCGGGCCAATCGATTGCGTTGTTTAGTTAATTGATAATGTATCAGCTAATTACCAGTATAACGAGTATCACAGGTCCGACAAAGCTGAAGATGAAATAATTATCTGCGCGCAGCCAGCAGTACCGATCGGTACCGTAGCTAAGTGGATCGATTATGCACGAAATTGCTACAACGACCAACGGCGCGCCATATGCGACCAGATAATACCACCGAAGCCGTGATTTTTCCGCCTCGAACACCTCGATCAGCATCACGTATAATTGGAATCCTGTAACGCGAAATGTGAAATTGTATAGGAGATACGTTTGCGAAATATTATGAGCCGCGGGATACAAATGAGAGAAACGAACCTTCGAGGAACATCCAGGCGAACGCGCATAAAAAGAAGAAGTGCAGTAAGCCGGCCACGATGCCACAGACGATCCTCTGATTTGTCTGGCCGATCCCGCAGACGAAGAGTATCTCAGCTATCAGCAGGCACACGCAGAGATTCTTGTGGATTGTCGTTCTGTCCGACTGCGAAAAGGGGATTGCGGAAAATGACGAAAAATCCCATCTCGCCGCGATCGATCGGCGTTAGCGCGCAGTTATATGCATTACCTTCAGTCCGCGAAATAATTGAAACGTGAGAATGGCCAGGATGAGACAGACGACGGAAATGATGCAGCCTATATACGTGATGATCTGCAGAGCGACCTGATGAGCGATGTCCAGCCTGACGGCGTGCACGTCCATCAGCACGGCGAAGTTCGTCAGGTGATTGCATTCGCACACGGTGTGAGTCTCGTTGGTCTTTTGTATCTGGCACCCCTCGTCCGACCAAGCGCTATGGGAAATAAGACATCGCATGTAGGGGGGAGATTGTTTTCGCATTGTTTGCGTTATTGATTACGTTTCGCTCCAATGTGCAGGATGCGCTAGAAGCCGCGCGATACGGTTTCAATTATAGATTTTCCGAATTAAATATTCTCCATTTCTTCTCCTCGCTTTTCTTCCTCTTCAAAAAGTTTGTCAAAATTATTTGGAAAATTAATAATTAAAATCTGTTTAATCGATTTTGAACAGATCTCTTTTGATGAACATTAAATTTACGTGTAATATCCAATTTCATTTTAATTGAATTTTAAATAGAAAGCTCCCACGAATAACGGGTCTTGAATAAATTTCCCATTTCGACGATGTGTTGCGTACATTGTGTGTGTACAGCGACAGAAACACGGGAAGAAAATTGAAAATGAAGAAATAAGAGAAAGACACCGCGGCGGCTCTCAGTATCGTGCCAAGTGGAAACAGGATCGGGATGAAGGTGAAATTACCTCAAGATGTAATCCCAAAAGACGCAAGTGGGGTTGGTGACGTTCTCAACTGCCAGATGTCTGAAATACACTCGGACGGGTTCCGAGAGCTGTATGTGCCGGCCTTTTCCCAGAGACGCCGAGATAACTTTGCTGTTAAGGAGACGGGTGGTGTTCCTTCGCGGCAGGGGCTGGGGATCGTCGTTCATGACGACGGACGGCGGCTCCGCTTGCGGCTGCAGTATCTCCTCGAGTCTGTCAAAGGCCATGAAGACCAGCCGGACGATGCCGGCCTCGCTGCTGTCCAGCAAAGCGCCCCTGGTAAGTTCCACGCGATCGTTCGAGACGGTCCACCTTTGCTGGGCGGCCTCGCTCGGGAAAACTTCCAGCTCGTTGCCGATGTTGCGCGCGTCCAGTACGCGAACTTCCATCACTGTAGCGGAGGCACGCACGCGGCTAATTAGACGAGTAAGTATACCTCCCCCTCGGCGCGGCTAACGCGCTCCATTTAGAATTTTAGCCGTGAATTTGCGGAAGACGCGAGAATTAAATTAACGACGGAACAGCGACTTTCAAACTTTGCGAAGTTCAAGTATTCTCGAGTGTTTCGATTGGCTTCTAACAATAAATACGCGATAAATAAAATAAGTAAAACAGACCTGCCGCCGAACATTAGAGCAAATGTATGAACCAAATTTTATTATAAGCGTGAATTTTGAATGAGATGTCAAAAAAAAATTTTTTTTAATAAGAGGAACAATAATAAAATTAATTAAGTAGTACGAAATATTGCCGTGAAGATCGCAGCACGAGTTGAAAACCACTGCGGCAAGAGAAAGATAATTCTCGCTTCCTTTGCCTTTCATGCAGTCGGATAAAATTAAAACGAGCAACTTAATAAAATAACTTCAAGAAATTCTCCCTAAATTCGTCAATAAACTTAAGTGCGCTAAATTCTCCTAAATTTAGTTGCCGGGATAGAAAATGTAATAAATTCTAATCTCACTTTGCGTTCCGCCGCGTAATAAACGATTAGAAATTGATCGCGGTATCAATCAACAGTATTGCCGGGAAGAAGGACTTAATGTGGCGTCAATTTTTTTTTTTTTTTCTAGGAGCGCAGCATCCTCCGACCGGCTGTCGCTCATCAACTACCCCTCCCGCCCCTTTCCTCTTCCACCGACCGCTTTTTGCTCTCCGCCGTTATGTAGTTTATCAAGCGTGCATCTGATGACGCTATGATGTACGTACACCGCGGCTCAATCAAGCCGCGACGCACTTCCGGGAAGTAAATCAAGTCACTCGTAATTCTACGTTGTTTTGTAATAATAATAACGCACCGCTGCGCCATACCCGTAGGATTACGTTGTAATCCGGCCGGGTACCGGAGAATTACGATGGATTCAGATCTGTATTTTATCTATACCGGAGATTACCGGGTGTTGGGCGCGCGCGAGTGATATAAATCATTCGACCGCTCGCGACGAACTCGCCTACGGGCGAGTGGGAGACGCGCGTTCATTGCGTGACTCTCGAAAACGCTGAAACGAAACTAGCCGCTCGCACCCGACAACAATAGTTGAAGATAATTACGTTGTTGCGAATTTTAGATTGTTTGACACAAAAAAAAAAAAAAGACGTAAATCAAAACTTCGTTAATAGTACGTCAACATTGATTTACCGGCAACATGCACATTAATCATTATATATGTAGATTAATCTTCCGAGAATCCACTGAATTCATAGCTTCAAGGCATAATTCCTACATTAACTTTTTTACTACAATTTGTGTTCTTTAAATTTACATTTGACGATGTGATGAGTAACAGTTTAGGAAAAGAAATTAAGATCCTCGTTAAATTAGATTTCAAGTTTAAAAATTTTTTAATTATGATTCCATTCGACAACGATTAAATTCAAATTGTGAATCCGTTCAGTTCAAATCTTTTTATCGAATCATATTTACATATATAAATTACGGATAAGAAAGATAATTTCGAAATTATGTTCTCCGTAATGACCTATGAAAAGGATAGCCGACGACAAATAGAGAAAGACGAGAAGCTAATAAAGAGGATTGCAGGACTCTTAATGTCCCCTTGCCTGTCATCTAAAGGATATAATGAATGCATATTCCGGTAAATCGTTGCAGCAATTACCAATCATCATTAGCAGTACTCACGTATGTTTTTGCCCTCGTGCAAGATGGTCTTCTCATGCTTGAGAGTGTCGGCCAATAAGAAAGCGTTCTCCTCGAGACCGATCAGCAGCGACGTGGCGACCCTCATCTGCTCCTGATGACTGAGATCCTTCCAGGACGCCATCTGCGCCTTGTCGAGCAGGTTGCTGCCGGTCCTCACGACACCCTGGAGCAGCTCTGTGACGCTGACTTCCCTCTGATTCGGATCCTGGTAGGTCTTGATGTCCAGGGCCATCTTCTCGGCCATGTTCTTGATGATCTTCGTGGTGATCATCATGTCGCCGCCGTACAGCCCGCGGCTGTTGTTCGTCACCTGCGAGAGCTCCCTGCTGATCCCGAGGATCACGTCGCCCTCCGAGACGCGGTTTTCCAGGGTGGTCAGCCAGACGGACCGGCACTCGCTCAGGTCCGGGCTGTCGCGGTGCCAGACGGCGGACTCACCGCGGGCCAGACACCGCCATCTGGCCAGGCCGTTGGCACCGCCTGGGCAGCTTTGCACGGCCACCTCGCCCGCCCTGGTCGTGTTCCAGGACAGGTTCCTGGCGACTATCGGGGGACACACTTGTCTGCCGTAGTCGTACCACTGGCCGTTCGAGCTGGACTCCGGGTAGAGCGTGCTGGGCACTGAAACAGTACGAGTTTCGGTCAGTCCGGTCGCTTTAAGTGGTCGTCTCGGTTAATGGCCGTAGTTAACGGCGCGGCGTTAATGCGATACCGGCGTCGCAGGGACGTCCTCCGAGACCGCAGCTCGGTGTGCCCGGTTCCGGACACTCGCAAATGGAATTTCGGTTCTCCCCCGGGGTCCTTAATGCTTCATCGCGATTGGATCAGAGGCGCACTATTTACCCGCGACAGGTTTATAGACCGCCGCCAAAGATACATTCACGCGGCAACAGCAGCGGAAAATAAATCAGAATAGCTGAATATGAGAATAGAGCGGATAATGACGACCTGTCTCCAGACGTCGTTATAATCATAGCGGCTGTAATACTTGGGCCATCTATCATGCTTACGGCGCGCTGTCTGATACGAGCGGCTTAGCCTCAAAGCCAATCCATAGATCCGTGGATCCGTACGCCGGAAAACGGGATGTATCTTGTCACTGTGTAAAGATGTTGTCGCACAAGCTTGTTGAACATACTAATTGGCTATCGACAAGCAAACTCCGGGGGATTTTAGATATTGTCTGTTCGACAGTCGAGAGCATGTCGAACAATCTTGTTATACAAGTATAATAGATCCATAAATCAGATCTCAAGAATAACTGTTCTCTACTATCGATTCTGCTTTTGAAATATTGTTACGTAACAAATGTGAACGCGATCAAACGCGTTAAGTATAAATATTTCGTGTCGTTAATAAATTACCTGGTGAAAGAAAAAAATAGCATGCACAATTGCGAAACATAAATTATACACGATTACGAGTTTTAATGTAATGTAATGATTATTTTTATAGCTTATTGTTTGCTTCAATGTTAATTTAATTATAATTCAGTAAAATGTGGATCAATTTAACTCAGTATCTTTACTCGAATACTTGTAAAAAATTTAAATAAAACAAAAATGTGTGTACACTGTAATATTGTCAATATTGGATCGATAAAATAAAAACATTTAGCGTTAATTCTTTAAAAGTAAACATTATACATTTTTACGTATAGTATTTACAATAGCAATAAATTTAAGATGACTATTCTTCATCTCGTGCAATAAATTTGACAATATTATATACACTTCTATGTTAAATATATTAGTAAATGACGTAACATTTAACGCAATATTTAGTTTTAACTTGTTCTTCAGATTCGGTAAAATAATTAGCGAATAGTCTGAAAATTTCATCCGCTGCTCTATCTTATGCAGAGAATGACATTGTTTAGCATACGAGCGTGTATTATTATCGTTTAAAATGACGCGCACTATATTACTGTCTAATGCGTTGTCGGAAGGAGGGAGAATCTTACCGGTGGTCCTTCGGCTGGTTCTCCAGGGAGCGAAGGTGGACGTTGTCGTGGCTTGAGTGGTCTCAGGTATAATCGGCGGCATCGCCGGGCCATTCGCTGCGGGATTGTTCGCAGGAAATTCCGGGTCTTCCCTGATATCGACGGAGGTCCTTGTTGATGCGGAGCTGAAAATGGAGGGCGCTCGTTATTCTCAATGGCCCTCGTATATACCGGACTTTATGACGACCGTATAGATCGCGCCTGATACGAATTAACGGCGCGAAGGAAAATATTTGTTCCCGATGCGTGTGGCCGGTGATTGAGCGAAATTAATGGCCGATACGCACGATAGGGATTGCACGAAGACTTATTTCATCCTCTCGACACTAATTTTCAATCTCGGTTAGATTTTTTATACGACGCCCGATAAATGTATACAATGCTGCGTGAAATACTGCAACACGCGCGAATATTTTGAATTAAAACACACGAGAAACTGTGGGCCTTCGATCTATCCGAGCCGCGCACTTCTCCAGATATCGTTGCATTTTTACGTTCACGCAGCGCACTAACCTCGCCGGTGTCGTTATTGGCAGGGCCGGGGTGGATGGCGCCGGTGGTTGCTGGGGCGGCTGCTGAATCGCCGGTGTCGTAATCCTCGAGGGAGGCCTGACGGTCGGCTTAGCGGTGCTCCAGACGCTCGGCTGCGAAGTCATGAACCACGGCGGGCTCTGCCGGGTCGTCGTCGTCGTAGTAGCTGCTGCAAATGTTTCGTCGAGGTCGTTTTAATGAGGACGGAAGGTTCGACTGCGCGAAGGGCGCGAAAACGAAGCTCTCGCAGCGGAAAAGGGGATCAGGAAGCTCTCGTCTGCGAGCTTAGTCGGACTCAAAGACTGAGTATAATTAAGAAGAAAAGTGATTTTAGGGGCGCGGGATGTTTAAAAGCTTTCTCGAGAGGTCTCCTCGGCTCAGGAAATATCGAAATTGTCCCCCTTCTCTCCTTCCCTCTCTCTCTTTCTCTCCATATTTCTCTCCCTCTCAGATTGACGCAACGGGTAGCTTATCTTCCACGTCGAATTTATATCGGACTCTCTTGTTAATCATTTGATAGAGTTTGAATGAACTGTCTGTACTTTGCGTATTTCCGATGGGCCGAAGGAAATGAGATATCCGGGACGCTTCGAGATATCGAAGGACTCTCTTCTCTGTTTTTCTTGGCTCGCTACGCCGGGAGGGGCTTATCTGCTGTATCGGATTTATATCGGATTCTTGTTAATCGTAATCATTCGATAGAGCTTCAGTAAATCTCCTTTAGAGAATACAGCAGATATGGATATGGTGAATACAATAACATTGGAATTTTATTAGAATATTCGATGCGCTTAACTGATCGAGAGATTTTTGCTGATTGAAAACGAATTTTCAGCAAAGCGTAAACAATTAAATCGAACTTTAATAAATGAGATGGCATGTAATAATTTTCAAATTATGTAACAGGTACAAAATTTCGTAACATTTAGTGTGCAATATTAAATCGTTCAACATTTCTATTAAAGTTATTTCAAAAATCACTTCAATATCGAACAGAGAAAACATACAAAGCTTATTGTCCGTCTCTTTTTCAGAAATTATTTCAAATTTTATAATTGCCGAATGAACGTGATAAAGGGAAATAAAAAGCTCTATCAATTCATGTATAAATCACTCGTGTTGAAAAACTGAAGGGATCAAGAGATAAAGAGAGAAAGAGATGAGAGAAGAGTACGCGACTTGGAATTGTACGGCTCAATATTAGCTATATCCAGCCATCGAACAGAGAACTATTCTTAACCGAAGATGGCGACGACAGCTAATCCCAGAATGGTGCGCGTATTTCGTGGTGCTATCTCTATAGAGGTCATCTTTACTGGCCGAGAGGGTTGGCGATAAGGTGAAATACCGGACGTTGCAGATGTTCATCGCGATAATCGTGCGCGCAAAGACAAGTACATACGCGCTTACGATTCGAAGAGATAAGACGTTTTACTCTTCTCACGCTCGCATTGAGAACTAAACTAAACTAAAGGATTAAACTATTAAAGGATTGGGTAAACAATTGTTTACGGATAAGTATTGCTACTGTGAAGATAAAATTCGATCTACTGAATCTTCGGGAACCGATTGTGGAAAACACGTGAACATCGTGATGAAGGCAAAGAGAAGATGAAGAAAATTCGAACATGTAGATGTACTTATTAACAACAAGTTAAAGCTGTTGATAGAAAAAAAACAATGTTTATGTTTCTGATATCAATTAAATTAATAATACTGATCAATACTTAATGCAAAAATCTAGATGTATTAAAAAAAAAAATAGTAAAATTTGAAACGTATTCTCAAAATTAATTTTAAGCTGCTTTCACCGAAAAAGTTTTGCTATCTGTTCTTTAAAAAAAAATGACAATTTATATGTTTTGAAAATTTTTTGCATAATCCAACAATGCTTGAGCAGCAACGATAGAACTGATATAAATAGAATAGATAAATGGAAGAGCTTTACTTACCAGAGACGCACCGATAGTGCGCTTCGAGATATTTGTGTGTATTCGGGCAAGGATCGCCGAATTGCAACGTGGACGCAACGATGCTGCAGTTCTGCTGGTCGTTGCACCTGGACGGGGATTCGACTCGCGTTTAACAAAATGACCGTGGTACACTCTTACCAAGCGTACCATCATGGATCTAACCCATCGTTTCTCTCGTTTCTTCGATACAGGAAAAGAAGAGCGATGCTCTTAGGGAGAGACTTTTTCGTCGAATCTCGTTCATCCAATTCGCGTTATGTCAAGATTAGCAGCCGTATTATCGGATATTTTTACTTGAGATATTAATCATAAGAATTTTATGACATTTATTACATCTCTTGTGTCGGTAAAATTTTAACTTCAGTTCGAGAATTAAAAATCGCAGTCGCAGACTTTTATGATTTTTATTCCGACTGGAAGAATGTATATGTTTTTAAAATATTTAGGCAAAAATAAATATATAAAATTATAAAATAATAAAAAGAGGTAATGTAACTAAGAAACAAAAATATATGGTAAAGCAATATTTTTTCAAACGACAAATAAAATCACAAAGTAATAAGAATGGCAAAGTTCATTGTGAAAAAAGTTTTAAAAGCTGCATAATCATTCCAATGCATCCCCTAACGTCGGCGATCGACGTTTCACAAGACGAAAGACATTCTTCTTTACATCTCCAAATTCCAAAATTCGATGCTCTTTCGCAGCACCACGAACGAGAGACGAATCCCTTGAGGTTTCCCGCGTAAATTTGCAACCGCGAAAACGATTTCGAAATGAAAAAAAAAAAATGTAACTAACCTAAGCATTGGTAGTGAGCTTCAATGTACTTTCCGGTCCCAGGACAAGGGTCCTCCTCGAAAACGTCGCTGCGCACGTCCACTGAGCAGGATTTACGATGATTGCACCTGCAATCGTCACGTTTGCGAAAACTTTACCCAGTGGAACGACTTTACAGCGATTTCCAAACTGTTCGGAATCATCAGCTGAGAATCAGACGGGCACGACAATATCGCGCGCACTCGTATCGTTATTTCAATATCGTTTCGATAAAAATGATCCATGCAACGCTGACATCGCACGAATATGATTTGAATCCCGTTCAATCCGATACTTTATAATCTCAAAATTATATAATTTTCTATCTTGAATCTGGCATTGCGAAATTTAAAAAAATTCATGTAACGACAATAAAGTCAAAAAATCTTTATGGAATTTGCAACACAAGATTTGTTAATCTTTATTACATTTGACAAATCTCATTCTTTTATTGAAGTTTGTCAATTTATAATATTCAGTTTTTGCAACTGATAATCGATTCTATTCTCTGTAAAAAATTTCGTGAGCGTTTTTTTTTTTTAGGAATTTTCATTCAAACAAAAAAAAATGATTTGTTAGTTTCACTGCAATTTCGGGACAAAAGCTCGACTTGTTCACGGAGCTTCCGTCGGATCCGTTATATCACGATTGTCGCGTGTGTGTTAGCATGTGATAGTAGGACAATAGGTTAGTAATGACACGTTTGCAACAGTATCAGACATAAGCACAAGTTAGGCGCTTGAGGTAAGACAGACGAGGTCTCCCAGGTTCCGACAAACGAATACGTGTGTGTGTGCGTGTGTGTGTATGTGTGTGTGCGTGAGAGAGTGCATAGAAGTATGTCAGCACCGAATTACAATTCGCCCACAATATCCCACGGTGTATGTACAAAGATTAACTGCATGCACAGAATATTCCTTCATCTCGGAATACGGACAAATTATTATGCAGCTCGTATTCGCATCGAAAAGATAGATATCGAACAAATTGCCGCGATATCGAGATATCATAATATAAATTCGCATTAATTAATTTATGGTGTCAATTTATTTCAAAATAATAACCGAAATAACGAGATCTCCTTCGCTCAACTGAATTAATATTCAACATAAAATTAATATCGTTGCATTAAAATCGAATTCCATCATTCACGCGCGCTTCATCAATCGTAAGAATAATGCAGATCTTTCTCCGGCAAAAAATTCCGTGTAAATGTAGTCGTGTATTTATTAAACAATTCTTGGATAGCCTATTTGAAGCTCGCTCACGTTAACTAGAAGAACAATCATGGCGAATTTTTGCTCGTGCGACAAAGCGAATTTTTTTCTCGCAGGTATGAATCGCGATGTTTTAAAGGACAAAAGCGAAGCGGCTCGTCAACGATCGTTAGGTCACGGAATTATTCTCTTCCGGGAGAATCTCGACAATTCGCCGCCGCGTTCTCGTCGGAACTAGGGGACTTGAAAATATTTAGTATCGCAGTATTGTCGTAATAAACTTTCCGCCTCGTCGGACTGCCGAGCACGCTCGACATGATTTCTCTCCGTTAAAGACTTTTCCGTTGAAGCGGCTTTTCAAAGTGGAATTTTCCTTGTAAAGTACAACAGAGATAGAGTTTCATCTCGAGGCAAACGGTATCTTTCAGTTAGCATAAAAAATAATTTCTTTCGATCTAAATCCTGCGATAGAACTGTTTGAAAAAATTTTATTGAAGAGCGCGATGTAAGAATGGCGCATAATTTTTTATAGAACGAGACAATATGTACAAATATAAGAAACCTGATAAAAGTACGAAAAAAATAGAAAATGTTTTGGAAACTTAACAAATAGCTGTTTAAAGATTAGAATCGTCTAAATATACAATCTCTATTTAATTACAGAACTTTACTAATAAATACAAAAATAGAAAAAAGCATTAGGAAGAATTAAGAGCAAAAGCCATCGTTGACTTTTGCACTTTTAAGGTACGAAAGAATTTTATTTACATTTTTATTTAATTCTCCGAATAATATCTCAATTGTACAAATGCGATAATCGATTCATATACGCTTTGTATCCGCAGTTCATTTGTCAAAACGCGTGATTGTTATGAGTTGTGACGCGCTTGTTTTAGTAATTTGCTCGTCCGATCGAGATTATCCGACAGATGTAAGACCATTGTCATGTATAATAGTTCCATTTGGCGAGATTGAAATTTAAGTAACAATTTTACGAGAGCGTGGCGTAACGTATTTGCTTCTAGCGTCGTGAAAATTATATTATCCTGTCTTAATCCTTAACTCGACGGTGAAAATAGAATACATTTTTGAAACACTTGTAGATAAAATGTTATTCAAAATGTCCTACTTTAATGACAGAAGAAAATTGTTGCAAAATAATGTTTTTAAGATTTCAGTTATAGAATATACTTAAAAATTCGACAGAAAATAGACAAAAATTATATTAAACTAAGAAAAAAGTACACATTTATTTTTAAAAATATATTATTTATTGTTATTGATTTCGTTCTTTTCAATATTTTTATATCTTCTTAATATTTAAATATTTTTTAAGTAATATTTGTAATCTTTAAATTTATTCACAAATGTGCTTAATGCAAATTATGTAAATTTTGCGTTCACGTGTGAATGGCATATATACGCGTACATACGTCCAGAAACTATTTGCGATGGCGCCGTTAGCAGTTTTTCCACGTAGCATCACATGATAAAATAATCACCTGATTATGGATGGTGTATAAATAATCACGTGCTTCATGTCGCACATGCACGACCGAAAATTGAAGACCGCGTTTCCGTAATTTTCATTCCTGCCAAGTGGATTTCACGTATAAATAAATATCGGTAGTGTCAAATTTAACAGTAATCTAATTTCGGTGTATTAATTAACCTACATAATCGCAATTAACGCGTATTTACAGAAAGTATCTATAGATTTTACATTTAGTCAATTGAAGATCGATATCTTTCGGAAAGATCCATTTTTAGCATGTTTCAGGCGTTTCGCAGTATTCGTTCGATAAGCGTTCTGAATACTACAGTATTAAAGAGATTCGAAATATGTCAGCAAAAGTAGAAGAAAGAAATTGCCAAAACAGGTTATATTCGCGCAATGGTCATTGCTCGTGTCTGCCGTAACGATTAACAGCAGAATTACTCGCCACTTTATCGTTCTAATAATAAATCGCATCACGAGTGACAAATCGAGAATACCGAGTGTGTCTACAGATTTTAATGTGTCGATTGATTCACGTAATTGCAATCCAAATGTATTTTTCCCTATTTGTAATTAGCGACTGCGACCAGTATTTGCGAGTGTAATTAACCGTCGGGAGTGTCGAATAAATCTATCCACGGATAATCGTCTTGATGTGTCAATTAATCTATAAATTTCTGATAGAATGCTTTCCAGTTTTTGAAACCAATATTAATTATTTGCGAATGCACCGAGCAGCACCGATCAACATCGAGAGACGACCGAACGGATTAATTCAAACAAAGGATTACCGCTCTTTCTATGATATTCGGCGGATGGTGAGTTTTTTTTTTATACGCCATTTGTCAAATTATTTTTAAAAATTTTCACGGTAATAGAGAGACAAAAATATATTTCGTACTTTAGCATTCAGTTAATATAAATAACAAATAAAGTTTTTTTTAAGTATCTGAGATGATAAAAAGGTAAAAAATCTAAATACACTTCACATTCATTTTTGGAATAGTTGATACAAAATTGAATATAAAAAATCGTACAAGAATCGTTACAACTTTTGCATAATGTTATTCAATCTCAAATAGAGATGATAACAATTTTCTGTTTTAAGAAAACAATATTTTGATACGCGCGTCTTCGACGAATTATCTCCTCTTTGTTATTTTGGGATTGTGAATTTTTACACGGCTTTTTGCATGCGCCAAGTGCTAGTTCGAAATTCGATAAAATGTCACGCGGGTACCATGTTGCATAACACGATATAATTCCCAAATCCGTGGATAACAAAAATTTGCAGATGCATCACGGCGACAAACGCGCAAGTTGTTCCGATAGAGAACAGTTGTCAGCGAGCCGATCGCGCACAAACTGAACGACGAAATTCTTATCATTCTCGGAGAACCGGGTGTTGTCAATACGTTGTCACAATTTAAGCAAAGTATCAACAAACATGAAGAGCCACACTCTCAACTGGCTCTATTCGAAATCAATTCGTTATGACAGGAAAACAACAAATCCGAGTGTAGCTATTAGGTGTAGCTGCCTGTATCGCTCCCATAATAATTATCACGCTATTTTATTGTTTCACTGATAACAAAATAACCTTTTAGTGTGATGCAAATTTTAACATCCGTCCGGCGAATCAATGCCAGGAACAAGAAAAAGATTGACAGCATGATGCAATATTAATGCGATTAAAACTGTACTAATAAATGTATCCGTGTCGTAACCGCGGTTTATTAATTATGCATCGAGTGATGCTGCATTATGTCGTTGTAATTATTCATACGATTCACATAACATATTTCCGATATTGCGATGTAAATGTGGTCGTATTGGCGGCCTTTCATCGACAGCCCAAATTACAGCGTAGCCAATTATAACGCACTAGCGCTTTTATTTCAGTAGAATATGTCAAGCTATCGTTCTTGATGCCAAGTGACAATTTATTTCTCACAAGCAATTTAGAATGCGCGACAATGATATATCCATTTTCACATATTAATATACTAATTGATTACCTTAAATTGAACGTCATTTTCTTAACCTTATTTTCAAATGTGCGATTAAGTAAAGTAAGTTAACGATTTCGCCGATAATTACGTATTATTACTAATTAACAAAAGTAAAAATTTAATAATAAGAATATAATCATTATTAATATAATATTGCGATATCATATTATTAATTTCAATTTCATTTTTCCCTAATTTTGAGAGAAGAGATGTAACGCGAGATGTAATTCGATTTTAATTCTAAAAGAATAATGAGCGTATATTTTAATTTCACAGAAATAATTTTCTTTCTGTCTCTAAATTAAAAATGCTGACTCACAACATGAAAAGTATATCTTTTTTACAATAAAAACTGGCAGTTT